TGATTCGGACAACATGCTGAGCCACAACATGGTCTGTTGGATTTGGTTGAAGGGTGCTGTGTAGACTTAGCTAGTAGATGCTTTGGTTTCCAGAGATTTTGAGGTCCAGATCAAAGCACTCTTTGCAACCTTTAAGCCCCAAACTGCCTTCAGCGAAGGGCTTAATCACTGGAGATCTGTAGTGCATCTGGGCAGAGATGCCAGAAAAGGATTTCTCAGTGATGCTATTAAGTTACATTTGGAAGGAAGAGAAGACATTGCTTAGGAAAAAGAAGACTAAAGGTAAACAGATGGGGGAGTTGGGGAAATCCAGTATTTTGACCACTGGAAAAGTAAAAGGGGATTAGTGAAGATAGGCAGGGTGGTGCTTACAGGTTTCCATAGCATTCTTCTAAATTCCTGTCAACCGTGAATTTGTTTGGATTGTTCCTTAAATAAACACTTGATTATTAACCCTGAGTACCTATCAGTGCTTACCTTGCTTACAAGGTTTCTCCATTCCATAAGTGTCTATGCTCAGTATCTGCTAGCACAGGAGGACTGCATCACCATTATCTGCAGCCCTGCAGCCCCCAAAACAACCTGCAGATAATCTGCAGAAGATGCATCTACTCTTATATATCCCATATTCACCAGCCAAGGGCAATTCAAACACCCAATTCTCACCCCTGAACTACATCTCCTCCACTTTTTGCTGCTTCTTGTACACTGGATTTGTTCTCTGTGCTGACACTCTGCCCTTGGCTGCTTTGAAGACTCAAGGGTTCAATTGTTCTAGTTAAAAAATGAATAAGGAAAAAAGAGAATTGCCCAACATTAAGTTGTCACAAGTTCCTGATGTACCTTTGTGACTTCATTGTGTGGGGAAGAGCACAAGGTGTTCTGTCTTTTGCTACAATACTCAAGGGAATTATTGAATTTAGAGCATTGAAGTTCACACCTGCTCAAATGAAGAATCTTACCTGTACGGGGTCTGCAACAAATGGGTGGTCAAGTCCTGCTTAAATGTCCCTGCCAAAGGGAAGACCACCACCTCGATGCTTTTATTCACATACCACGTTACACCCCAACATATCAACCATATTGCAGCTTAACTTGATGGCACAGTCCACACAAGGATAGAAGAGTGAGTGGTCCTACTGGGGACATCTTTAGTATAAATGTGGAATGTGATAATGGCTGGGTTTTCCAACTGTTATGACGTTGTTTGATTGATAATGTTTGTTGATGAGGTTTTATTGATTTGGTTTTAATGAAATTATTCAAGAATATTGTTGTAGATTGCTTAGTGTGTACAATGAAAGCAACTTAAAAGCACTGGACGGGTGGATGGATGGATAAGGATTTTAAATCAAACCAAACCCAGGTTTCTGGCATCCCGTTACCACGAGGGCCAAGTTGGAAACAAAAAATTATTTTACCCTGATGGGATCACATGGAGGACAGTGTTTGGCCCTGTGGATCTTAAGTTGTGCCACCATTTTCATAACTCCCATCCCAATGACCCCACTGATTCTGCTTTGTTCCCATTTTCCTTTTCTTGCTCCCCATCCTATCCTGGTCTCTTGGCATACTTTTGTTTTTTGGCTCTGGCTCATCTAAACTGGCCCAACTAGATAAATGTCTGTAGCCAACTTTGGCTGATTCCAGAAAGCAGTAGAAAATCACTTCCATATTGTTGCCATCGAAACAGCATGGATGTGTCCAGGAAGCTGCCAAAAGACGAACTTGACTCAGGAGGTTTTGCCTTTGCTAAGCTGGCATCCATGTAAGTAACCACACTTGGCTGAACCTGACTGATCTTAAAAGCTAAGCAAAGTTGGGCCTGGTTAATCTTGTGATAAGAGGTCACCAGTTCTGGGCTAAAATCTACACTGGGAAATTAAAAAAAAAAAAACCTCAGAAGGGATTCTTGACAAACCACTTCCATGCTGATCCAAACTCACTCCGAATCACTTCCCTTTCCAGCTGACACTTGGATTCAAAACCAGCCTCAGATCAGGCATCTGTCCTTGTACAGCCTGCAGCCAATACAATTTGCCACAATCCCAGCTATCCATGTATATTTGTGTTGGTGGAAGGACAGTCAAGATGGACTCAGAAAGCAATCAGATCAGAAAATGTAGGCATGTAACACAACCACACCCCAACAACAGGAAGGATGCCCACAGGGACTCAGTTTGTCCCCCAAACTGGAGAATAAAACCAAGTTAGAAGATCTGATGTTATTTTGTAGAACAACAGATTTGGAAGACCTTGTTTCTGATCAACATGGATAAACAGCTTCTTCCAACTTCTCTTTATCTTTTTATCTTTAGCTTGCCATGTTCCTATTAACAGCAGTTCAGTGAGCATAAATCAAAAAGGCAAAACTTTTCTCACCCCTCAGTCTCCTCCCAAAAAAGCCCTTAATTTGGAGGACCAAAAGGGTGGGGCTCTGAAAAAGCTTTTAATCCAACAGAACTCTCTGAGGTTCATCTTTATTCCATTTAAAATGAACAACTTTCATTCATAATGCACCTTTCCTAATCTTAGCCGAGAGTTAACTAGTTTCTACAGCTAAACAAACTAAGTTATAGGCTTAGCTCAGTGGTACACCCTCTAGTTTGCATCCGAAGAGTGCCAGGTTCAATTCCTTCTATCTCCAGGTAGGGTTAGGAATGACCCTTTCTGTACAGATCTACTGCTAGTTAACAATAGACCAAAACAGAATTGATGGAGCCACAACCAGATTCATTATAAAGTAACGTTCTGTTCCCAAATGCAACAAATGGCCTCCTGGCAAGTCTTGTGATAATGGAGTGCAATAATGGCACAAATCCAGCTCTTAGTGTATGTGGGAGAAGAAGGAAGTCCAGCAAGTCCATTTTTTGTGCATCACGGTTAGACAGATGGATACAGATGCCTAAAGAGAGATGCAAGTAGAAGTCGGCGCATCTTAGAATGGAAACAGACTGTTAAAGGAAATGTCAGTGGAGAGAATAGCAAGAGAGGTAATATAAATACCGAAGCTCAAGCTCAGATATTTTGGTCACCTAATGCGAAGAGAGGACTCTTTGGAAAAGACCCCGATGCTGGGAAAGATT